CAAGCTGGCATGTGATATTTATTTATTTATTTTTTTTTTTATTTTTTTATTTTTTTTTTTTTTATTTTTTTTTTTATTTATTTGTTTATTATTTTGAATTATTTATTTTGAATAATAATGGGTACAATGCGCACAAAAAAAAAAGAAAAGTGGCATGACAAAGCAAAAAACATACACAGAGAAAAAAAAAATGAAAATGGCTGAAAATCAAAAAATTTGGAAGGTCAAATGACATCAGTGTCTAAAAAGTGTTGCTGTCTCGATTCAAAACAGATTCGCAAATATTGGATGGCCTAAAGGTAAATCCATATTTGTCTTTGTCCACTGTTTGTCTACGATATGTATAAACATTTAACATGACAACGAAGTTTTGTTTTAAGATACTGTAATGTACACTGTACTGCTAATTACTTTTTGATGTTTAAGGATTGGCACTAAGGGGGTAATAATGAGGTAAAAACACTCCAGATCACAAAATATTTCCTGTTGAGTAGAATTATAAACCATTGTTTATGGTCTTGTTGATAAATAGCATTGTAATGTCTGCGTAACTCTGTAATTGAGGAAGTACTTACGGTATTCTGCACATGCTGGTCACACCAGAGTAAACTGTTGTTACCCTCTACTGAATCCAAAAGCTGTTTTTTTTTGAATGTACGTTTCAAATTCAAAATGTTTAGTCGGTAATATTTTGAATTCAAAAGTACATGAAATTTAGCAAAAATGGTAGAAAATGTGCATACTAGTAGATACTTTGAAGGTGAAAAAAGCATGCAGTCTGTATACTGTAAGTCACTTTTCATGAATTATGCAAATCAGTGGAAATTGGAACCTTATAACACTCTTTATCGGTAATAGTGCTTTTCACAAATGCTATAAAATCCTCTAGTCGTTAAAATTTCCGGCAGAAAAAATAAAATGGTTCGCAATATTTAAAACTCTTTTTGTTGAATCTGTTTCGCAGTCAATTATTTAGTAGGTACCGGTACTTTATTTTTTGCCCATTAGGTAATAGTGCTCAACACTGACAATACTGAATTGAGTATTGTGAAGTTTCTTTCTTTTTTTCATCACGTCTCGGCACAACACGCTTGGGCAAGTGTTTTCACTCCCGTTGACATTATTTCGTCACTCATAGACCGAGGCTATGAATGTAAAATTGTGAGATAAATGCTGATGGCAACTGACTTTACTGTTTTTCACATTTCAGTGTTTGAAATACTCTGGTGTATGTTATTATTCAACCTGTGTATGCAAACCCAAATCCTGATATGCAAATAGCGTGTGTAAAAGATTAAAAAAATACTGTAAATTCAATGATTACTAAAAAGGAGCACTGATTCAGCAAAGTCTGATATTGGATGTACGGTCATATTCCTGCAGTTTGTGTTTTTT